CACGTGTGGATACACAACGTGCAGGATAAATGGACAGATATATGGCTGAACCTTCCGAATCAATCAATGTCTTGCGCCTCCAAGCCCTATACTCCGTTTCACCTTACGCCCGGCCAAAGCGGTTGCTACAAACCATCTCGGCCAATCCAGCTTTGTGAACATAGTACATGACTACGCTTTCCATGCACGGCTCTTCCTCTTGAAGGTCACGGGAAACTCGTACAGCCTTTGGACTGGCTCCGATGTCTCGTAGCATCTACTGGGGCTCAACCTAAATAGAATTGTAGTATAGCACCTTGTTCGACGTTGCAGGCAGCGACAGATTAGCGTAAGAGGCCGGTTAAATTTTTGCTATTTGTATTCTGGCCATAATTTGTCATATTAAAAAAACACTAACACGTCAACATTTTTTTTTTTTTTTTTATCTGAAACGATTGAAAACAATGCCTGGACATTACCCTCAAAATTCAAAACTTGGGAATTCAGTATTTGTGAAGTAAAAAAACAATTTCCAAATGCCGAATTCGAAGTTCCCGCACGATCCGCGCCAGTGCAGTGGCGTCAAATATTGAGCTGTCCTGCGAGTCCAATTTCTTTCACGCCTCCGCTCCAAACCGCCATTGCCGCTGTGACCCCCGGCGTATCAGGAACAACCGGCTTTCTCCGTGCGTGCCGTGCCGCCTATCGCTGCGAGCGGACGACGCTTGACGTCTCCGGTTCTGCGAGAAAGGCTGCCCCCGGCGGAGTTACACCTGAAACTACAATACACAGACACCAAACCCAGTTGTTTTGGCTGTCTGACGATTTCCTTTTCGAAGTCTGAGAGGTCGTTGGGCATCTAAAAAAGACCACTTCGTCCAATTCACCGACTCACCGATCATCCTCTGCTAAATGCTTCGAGCGCCGCCATGTTTTCCAAGGGAGGGTAAAAATCCAGGAGGCGACATCACACCAGACTTTGATTTTCGGCATTTTAAGAAGAAGGGCCGTAGTGCGTTTGCAATGGCGTTGAAAAGCATGTTTTACGATTGCCGTTACTAAAAGGTATAAAAATGTTGCCTACAAAGCTTCTAATTTTCATGATATTTGATGTCAGAAATCAAAAGAAGCGTGGAGGTGAGAAGCGGGAAGGAAAAACGCCAAAAATAAAAAGGCGCGAGCGTGTGTAGGGAAATTTTTTTTGTCCATCACTATTCAATTTGAATTCGAACCTCAAATATTTACACCACCCCTAATTACTATATATAACAGAGTTGATAACTAAAATAGGAAGTCTGCTCTCTTCAGAAAAGAGTGAAACTTGACACTACATTACACTATACAGCTGCCACATCTATGTCTTACTACGGCCATGTTCCTCGATTTCATGCCCGAGTCCAGGTTTCATACATTGGAAAACCTACCTGCATCCAGCATTGCTGTATCTGGGGTTTCACGCAATTTGACCTGCAGGACTGGCTCGAAGCTCAGATTCAATGATGTCCTTGCAGGGTAACCAGCAACGATGGTAACACAGTGCCATATTTTTCACGTATTTGCCTACGAAGTGCTTGTGTGTTTGACGATGGTCTAGTAACTACTATGGGATGACATTCACCAGTGTCAGTGATTGTTCAAAACTAAAGTGTGTCCCCTCAAAAAATGCCCAGTGTTTTTTTGTTTTTTTTTTCATCGCAAAAATAAATTATGCATTGCCAAACGCTCGCTCTCTGCCTACATTTAGCGCTAGCAGTCCGAGCTATATACCAAATTTTCAGAACTAACTGTTATCAATGAGGCAGCAATTTGGGCCAATTGGTTCATGGTCACCTAAAAAACCGCCAAAAAAAACAGAAGGACGAGGAAGTAGACAGATCACTCTTTTCTGTCTACTTCCTTGTCCCTGTGTTTTTTGTTTTTTTTTGGCGTATTTCTAGGTAATTGTTATCGTTTTTAAAAGAGCTATAGGGAATTTTTCGACAATTTCACTGGGAAAATTAGGCCTTTTTTCGATAACTGGAGTTACCATGTATTTGATAGCTCCGTCAACAACCAACTTCCCATTAAAAAAAAAAAAAAAAAAAATTGCATACTTTTTGAATGAGGTAATGGTTAATTCTGAAACTTTGACATCCGATTCGGAATGCTAACACTACATTTGAGCGGGAAATGAGTGTTCAGCAATCAGAGGTTGGCTTAGCATTTTGTCGCCCTTAAGCAGCCTGTCACACTGCCGCCCCCACGCCCCGCTCCCCATGGTCAGTGATCATAGGGAGGGGGGGGGGGGGGGGAGTATCTAAATTTAGAGTTAAAATTTTCAGAAGCATGTTAGATTTGGAGGCAGAATTCCCAAAACAGCTTAACTCTAAACTCGACTTAAAAAAAAAAAAAAAATTAGGAGAGCCAGTTAGTTTTGGGGCGGCTGCAGATTGGCCGCTTCCAAAATTCTGCAGCCCTGGGCACCTGGCTACTCTGCCTATTGGTAAGTCCACCCCCTGTCTGCAGTGCATAGTTCATTTTTATGGTGACAAAAACCTCGTAAATTTTTGAGGGGAACAACCTGTACACGGGAGGTATTTTTGTATCTGTGTGTCAAAACTTTAATGTCAATAGATGCCCCATCCGACGCTTTATGATTCGGAGCTCTTGAGTGTCCACTGGACGTGAGCGACCAGGGCCTGCTGGAAGGAAAAAGCCAAAAGAGTAAACCCAATTTTTTTTTATTACATTCTTTTTGTTTACTAGCAGATTGAGCTCAGTCTACTGGGAATGAGGTGATTGCAGCTGTTTTCACCAGAGCGTGAAGGCAATCATGTTTAAATTCCACGTCTAGTATAAAAGTAGCAAACGACCACGCAACGCAGCAGCGGTAACTGCTACATTGTAAAAAGGCATGTTGAAGGGGATTTTGCCTTCAGCCAGTGTGCTGTACAATGTTTTGAATGGGTTTGTTGCTTTCGATGGAATTACCGTAATATCTCGAGTCATCGTCCACCCTACTTTTTGGGCGAATATCAATTTCCAAAAAATTGCCGAGTGATCGCCCACCCCTACAAACACTCCAACGCGGACTCCGCGATCTGCAAACATTCATCCTATCCGAATGATGCAGCCATGAACCTTGAGGTTGGAGGACATTCATTACAAAGTAAAACAATGGATGGAAAGACACTTTACTTTGTTTACGCATTTCCTCCGCAGTTTCTGTAACCCCAAAGTTGGAGTGCTTGCGTGCGAAAGGAAAATGATGGAGATAGCAAATTTAAATAAAACTTATTTTGCTTAAAAACAATTTGTTTAAATAAAATCTTTTTTAAAAATTCAGGAAGATAACAGGTAGTAACCATTCACGTATTGCGAGGTCAGTGAAAGCCCCATATCCGGGAATGTAACTTTGGAGTGTAAAGTTAAAGTTTGTCTCAACCGCAATTAGGTCCCTGCAAACTCGCTCCAAGACAACAAGCAAATAAAGATTTGCTGGAACACCGCACACAGATGTTTGTAAAGCGCCCCATTTCGAGCTTCGTGTTCGTCCATGCCACGCAACAACGCCGCCTCAACCCGCGTTGATAGCACGGATGCACGCACCGAACAAGAAAGTTGCACAAGAGCCTGCTCTCGATGCCAAAATATTTGCCAATGTGATCGCCGGTTTTCCCACTTCCCCAGCATCGCCCTTCATCGCTTCTTTCGCCCACTCGCTGGCTCGTTGCGTGGTAGTTGGTTTTTCTATTTTCTTGTTGGATTTCTTTTTTCTTTTTTTTTTACTAACGAAGAGAACATAGTGGTGCTAGAGACGTGGTTTCAAAGAAAAAACGTTCGTGCTGTATGCTGATCAGTGGTGTTCATCACGCGTGTGCAAGTAACGGACTTTGCGATAGTAGAACATGCTTTCATGAGCCTTTTTTGCATAAAACAATGAAGCTAATTCGTGTTTTGAGTTTAATGTATTTCCTGTGCAGCCGCGCTAGATTAGTACAGAAAAATAGGTGTTTTTCTAGCGTTTTCTAAACCTTTCGTGCTTACCCACCGAGAAATGGCCCACCCAAATTTTTTTATGAATTTTAGGTGGCTGGGGGCGTGGGCGATGACTCGGGATATTACAGTAATGTAGGAGACGTGTGTGAGGAAATTTGTGCTTCGCTTTGGTGGCATGATTGTGCAAGATGTTGCATGTGCAAAAAGACTGAGGCATGCTTTTTGCTGAAACACTTTGAGAACGGGGGCACCCGTGATTGTGCCTGCAGTGGAAGTAGTGAAAGTATGTACACTATTTGTTGTGTAGAGGTGCGGAGAGCTCACGAGAATGGAACCTGGGCAGCGGCAGTGGGGAAGTAAGGGAGCATGTCCGCACAATCACACAGGTATTTAGCAACAGTGGCTGCTGGGGGGTATGTGGATGTAGCAGGGATGATGGGGAAGCACAAAGTGCTCTTCTCCCTAATCACATTTTTTTTTTTTAACAGCTGAGGCCTATGAGGGGGAAGGGGGGGGGGGGGGCGAGAGAGATTTGCCGTTGGTGAGGAACAATGGGGGGGGGGGGAGAGCAGTGCCTTTGTTGTAGAGTGGGGTTTTGCATTCGTATATGAGCACTTTTTTGCCGGGAAGGGGCACTAACAGCTACAACTGTAAAAAGTTACTGCCAACTGTGGTCCTGAATTTCATCTGTAGCACAAAATGCTGATATTTATTAGAAACAATTGACACAGTGCTTGCTCTCAGTCGGCTGCCACACGGTATGCACAAAAAATGGCCCTGCTAGGAGTCGCACCACGGCTCCACTATCTTGTTGCACGCCTCCAGTAGGATTCGTCTTAGTCTAATCAGCAGAATATAGCTTTCATAAAAGACAAGCAATGCTATCTCACTTCGACATAGTTTGGAGCAAAGCACCACAGAAATATGACCTTTTCGTTTACTTCCAATTTTTTTTTTTGAAAGGAAATAGAAATTTGGTGCATTCATCTGTGTCAAATGGCACTGGCATTCAGTTGTGTACATCTTAGCATTTGTTTTTGCAGCACAGCAGCCCCCCATCAGACAGGACCACTGAACTGGTATGCTGTATATATCAAGAGGCTCTGCAAAGGATATCCTGTCGGATCCCAGGAAATCCTGTCGGATCTCTGCAACACCAAGAGTATATTCACTTCAAGAAAAATTGACTTCGGTGTTGGTTGCACCCAAAGTGACTCGCAGCAGTGCCAAATCTTCAAAGACCTCAAACTCTGGAATGAATTTCTTTGGAACATGAACGCAGAACTTAAGGAGGTGTTGCCTGGTAAACTCGGTGTGGTTCCTGGTTCCTGTGATTTCGACACAACTAGTGACGACCAACTTACTCATGCTTCTATTCTCCTGCACTGGCTCCTCAAGGAACATCGCTGCATACAGGTGTTTGAACTGCTTGAGCATTGCACCACCTGCTGGGACATGCGTCTTTTAGGTGATGCACTGCGCCTCAGTGCCGGAATCAAGAGACTGAAGCTTGACAAGTTTCATCTCTCAAGGTGTTTTGTTCACACGCTAGCCACTCTTTCGAAGCTTGAGGAGCTGGAGCTTTGTCTGGGGACGATGTCTAAGAATGCATTGGCTCACTTACAGCTTGTGCTGGAGGAGATGCCATCTCTCAAGTCACTCAAGCTGGACTTGCGCTCTATGAGCCTAAACAAAACAAGAGCGCTGCTACAAGCTCTGAAATGTTGTGCCGCCACATCGCTGTGCTTAAATGGCAGCTGCCTCAAGCTGGAAAATGGCAGAGCATTTGCTGAGTTCTTTGCACAGAACTCTATGTTAAAGGAGCTCACTGTTGATCACTTGGCTAAACGAGAGAAATCGCAGGATGTGAAACCTCTCTTCCATGCTCTGAGGACAAACAAAACACTGGAGAAGTTGTGCCTTCCTGGCTGTTGTCTAGCGACGTCCGAAGCAAGATTACTTGTACAAGTGGTGGCCACAAATAGCACGCTGAAGATCTTGCAGGTTAAGTGCACCTGTGCAAACGGGCCAGCAGTTTTCGGCGAACTGATTGGGAGCAACAGAAGTCTTTCAGAACTTGAGATTACCTTGGCACCTTCTATTTCTGAACTGGCCGCATCCATTCGTAAAAACACCACAATGAAGAAGCTGAGCGTTAGTTGTAAATACTTGACAATTCAAAGCACGGAGACATTCCTTGATGCTCTGGCATTCAACAAATCGCTTGAGCTTGTGAGACTGGGAAACATTTCTGAACAGGAGCCAGGGTATTTCCACAGACTTCTAGAAGAGAAAGGGCTGGACAGTAGGGTGCACTACGTGTGCTCCATTATCGAGCCTGTCATCTACATGAGCAACAGGAAGAGTGGTGCCGACCTGCGTCGTACTCGTCCAAGGCTGTCTGAAGCCATGCTAGACACTGTTCATCATGTTTGTCGCCAACTTGCCCGACCTCATCAGTTCGTAGACCTCAGCATTTCATTGTACCATTTGGACCTTGAGTCGGCAAGACTACTGGCAGAATTCCTATCATCTACCAAGGTCCTGAAGCACGTAAACCTAGCCTTCATCTTTGGTGACAGATATTCTATGCAAGGTATTCTGGAAGGGCTTCGTTGCAACAAGAGCCTTTCCTCTGTTGCTCTTGAAATTGTTTTTGAGGAAGAAGATGCCTACGTGATGGGTGCTCTAGTGAAGACCAATAAAAGCTTGCGGGAAATAACTGTGCTGTCACCGTTTAAAGACATGTATTCCAAGGTCATTTTTGAGTTGTCGGAAGGTCTTGTTGACAACTACTACTTGTTCCGTGTGGAGACAAGCAATTATGCTCAGTGTGCAGAAGCAGTGTTTAAGATCAAGGATATCATGCGCAGGAATACTTCCATGCTGCTGGATGCAGTTAAATTTGCCATGGGGTCTTGCACAAAGAAGCAGGCTGAGGCATTTGAACTGCTTTTTGAAAGCGATGCACTTGTTGAGAAGCTGCAAGAGCTAGCATATGATACAGATTTTGAGGCAAGGGAAAGAGTCAAGAAGCGCTTGCAGTACCTCAAGTACAACTTTATGACAGTGGCAGGCGTTGTGAAGGCAAACATGGTTTGTGAGCTGGGAGAAAAGCAAGAGACTCGGCTGGACCAGATTGCATTTGACAGTTGGCTGAAGATTCGGTCCTATTTGAAGGTTAGGGACATTGCAGATGAACCGGTGGCACTGTGATCACCTGCCTCTGATGGATAGGAGCAGTCACACGTGAGAAGCACTCCTGAGATTGCATAAGGGCCGCTAGGAACTGCCATGTGCACTGGGACTTTTATATCTTGCTTTGATGAATTAAAAAATCCTTGTTTGTGGCATTTTCCTCTGTTGGACGAAGTAAGATGCGTTTTTTTTTGTAGGATTGGTGACTTGGCAGGCACTGCTGGCTCTTTCAGCTCCTGTCGAGAATGGAACAGGAGACACAGACTTTACTCATTAAATATTCAGATTTAATTACAAATATATAAAGGATATTTACAGGTTAAGCAGTTGGCAGAGCCGTAATCCCATCTTGCCGCGCCCCAAAGACAACCCCTGGGGAATTCTCTCGCAATGCAATCTCCATTCCCATTTCTCCGCGACCCAACGTATCATAGAGTCTTGCATTGTGGCTAGTCAGTGGGGGAGGTGGCCAAGTGCAGTCTCCAAACCAAGCAAAATAAGGGCCACAAACCTTCCCTTACACTCATTGTGAGCTCCTATACAGCTGCAACACAGCCAATCGCCTTGAAAACAAAACAGCTAAACAAAAAAGAACAACTTTGCTAACCTTACAAATGGATCGAAGTTTGTAGGCAGGTTTGATGCGATCGAGCTGAACTTTTCTAAATAGTTGCCTGTGAGCACTTGGCTTTGATTTCTGTTGCGCTGTGCTGTGCACTTACTGTTAGCCATTGCATAAAAAGAGTTGATGGCCTGCCATAGTCGCCGTAAGGATAAATGCTCGGGTTATTATTTAAGAACACCAATAGAATTGTGTTTTCACTGTAAACTTCTGGATATCAGCAGTAAAAAGTTTTGAAAATGAGTTTATGGCAGGAGTGCACAACATATGGCCCGTGGGCCGCATGCGGCCCGCGGCCCAGCTGAGCGCAGAAACCGCTCACCGTGTCATTCAATGCACTGCGGCCAGTGACTTGGCAGAAAGCATTCGAACCCGTTGACCTACTTTTCTCAGAGTCCTCTTTTCTGGGGGGGGGGGGGGGGGGGGGGGGGGGGGCGGGGGGGGGAAACTTTGCGTCCTCATTTCAAATATTCCCTCTCCACTAGACCCATAGAAAACAACAATACAAAAGCCTGTACAGCCATCCAGTGCGTTGTTTTGACCCGATCCCGCGTCCCTGTGTTTGTGAGTGTTCCAGTTCTTCATCCCGTTTCCTCCTCCCTCTCTCCACGGAGGCTACAGCCCTCTCCCCTCCTGTTGGGACATGATCAGTGACAGCTTGTTGCAGATAGAGAAAAGCTAGTCGTGTCAGTGCACTTCCAAAGAAGAAAAAAATCGACCAGGAGGGCCGGAAATTCAACCAGGAGCATAGGTCGGCATTTTAGAGCCCCTTCATTCACCATAACATCACAAACAAAATCATGTCTCCAAATTCATTCGCGTTCACGTCACAAGGTACTTTGACCTCCCAAAGTCACGGCCCATCACATCCCGGCGTTCAACCGCGCCAAAACTTCATCCCCATCTCATCACGGCTTTCAAACTCCGCCGAGAATTCATCCCCTTCACATCACCGCCGCCTCCTAATTCACGGAGTCATTCACCAACACATCACCAATTCACGAAGTCATTCACCATCACCACGAATTCATCTGAATTCACCTTCACTTCACGAATTCATCCGAATTCACCATCACTTCACGAATTCATCCGAATTCACCATCACATCATGAATTCATCCGAATTCATTATCACTTTACGAAGTTAATCACCATCACGGTCAACACGAATTCACCGGAATTCGCCATCACATCATGAATTCCGCATAATTCACGAACTCATTCAGGTTCATTCTAACTAAAATCGACTTCACGGCTGGTAGCCCTTCACGAGTTCGCAGTTCTTGCGGAATAGGATTTCGGCGCCTTTTTGTGTCAGCCACTTGAAACCAGGACCTGACTTCGTCGGGGAAGTGGGGTATTTCGACTGCGCGAAACTCAAAACACATTGATAGAGCGCCAACCCTGCCAATGCCGCGCTGCGATCGTGTCACGTGAATGTGTTCCGTGCGCCGCCGCGCGGATTTGGCAGGTCACGTGATATGGTCTCGGCGCCGGATTAGGTGCGCCTGCTCGTGACGTCGGCTTTGTCTCTTCATTGCCACTGCCACCGCACTTCCCTTATAAACGGCTGTTACTTTGAAAGCGCTCGACAAAGAGCCACTGCGCTGAGGCGGGCACGGCTATGCAGCGAGACTGATGCCCAAACCGCTGAAGTCAAATCGGTTCCTGTCGTTTGTGAAGTATGAAAACAAGCAGCAAGCAAGCACCTGCGTAACATGTTTTCCGCCTATTCTGGATTAATAACAGTATTCAATATCACGTCGAGAATTAAGTTCACGGTATTATTTCCCATCACAAACTTATCAACTTCATGAGCCACTCGCATCACAAATCCATCGTGTTCATGAGCCATTCACCATCACGTCACGAATTCATTGAGTCATTCACATCACAATGGATTCTATTCAGTTCATGAAGTCATTCACAATCACAACACATCATGAGTTCATTTAAATTCACGAAGTCATTTACCACCACATTACGACTTTATTCAACATCATATCACGAATTCATTGAAATTCACGAAGTCATTCACCATCATATTACGACTTCATTCACCATCACATCACGAATTCATTCAAATTCACAAATTCATTCACCATCACATCATGAATTCATAAAAATTCACGAAGTTATTCACCATCACATCACGAATTCATTTAAATTCACAAAGTCATTCACCATCTCATCGTGATTTTTTTTTCAATTTCAAGAAATCATTCAGAGCCATTCAGGTTCACGCCGTGAATGTGAATGAAGGTGAATGAGCGAGTTCATGATTGAATTTGCCGAGGTATGCCCAGGAGTGGACATGGAGGTACTGTTTCATTGAGAACGCATCGAAGTGCTTATGTCTTGTGTGTCGAGAATCTCTCGCGACTCCTAAAGAATACAACGTTCGACGCCACCACGAAACCAAAAATGCCCGCGACTTCAGCGCTCTTTCGAATTTGGAGAGAAAAACAAAGTCCGAGGACTTAAAACGGAATTTGCTTGCTGAGCAAAGTATTTTTACGAAAGTAAAGAACACATCTGAAGCAGCCACGCGGGCGTCTTTTCAGATATCTCAACAGATCGCTCGTTCAGATGGCGATTAGAGCACTATATAGCTCCTTCGGAGCAGAGTAGCGCAATCTACAACGCCGTCTTTCGGCGACTAGCGGCAAACGCCCGGGGGTTCCAACTCCGGCAACAAATGCATGGGGAACGTGAGAAAATCGCTGCTTCCTGATTATTTCGGGGATGTACGGAACGAGAATAGTTTTTGACATAATAAAGGAATAGTTTAAAATAATTTGCGCTAAGTTGTGCGCCATGAAATAACGTAATTGTTTTTAAAAAAATTACCTGAGCAGCAGCATGCAGCAGACGACGCGGCAACGTCACACCGTTCACGTGACCCGCTCCGGCCAATCCATAAAGCCCATCTCCGCTGCGTAAAACAATCTCTGCTTCAAACGTCATTGCTTTGAAAATTGCCTTCGCAAAATTTTCACACGCATCCGATATTATTAAAACTTTGATAAAGTGTTTAGTGCTTTACCAACTTCACGACAGACTAGTTTGGAAAACTGTGAACTGGCGTCTATTTTTTAATCAGCCGTGTTGAGTCGATCTCCATGTATTCTCCCATAGGGCGGGCCGCGTCCTGGAACCCTGAATACCACGTGACTCGCGCCACGCTGCTCTGTCGGCCATGTTGTCGGCGAAACACGGGGATCAAAGGATTGCGTTACTCTGCTCCGTAGGAGCTATATAGTGCTCTAATGGCGACTTCATCAAGGAATGTCTTATGATTGCTTCTGAGGAGATGTGCCCGGACAAGAAGTTGGTTTTCTAAAACCTGAGCCTATCAAGAATGACAGTACAACGACGTGTGCATGACATTGCCGACGACATATCAAAACAGCTGGAGAGGAGTTGCAGTCATTTTGTCTACAACTCTTGCTTTGGATGAGAGCACAGACGTCAAAGACACAGCACAGCTGCTTGTTTTCATCCGTGGTGTGAACGAAAACTTTGAAGTGACTCAGGTGCTGGCAGAGCTTTGCTCAATGCACGGACGGACTACGGGAGAAGAGATCAGCAAGGAGGTCAAAGACGTCATCGAGAAGCTCAAGCTATCAAGGGAAAAACTCGCAGGTGTCTGCACCGATGGAGCCCCAGCCATGATGGGAAAGAGAAACGGAGCCGTTGTCTTACTTCAAGCGTTCAGTGGTGTAGAACTGAAGCAATATCACTGTGTGGTTCACCAGGAAGCACTCTGTGCCAAAGTGATGAAGTTTGACCATGTGATGAAGGTCGTGACTTCGGTTGTCAACTTTATACGTGCTCGGGGATTGAAGCACAGGAAATTTCAAGAGTACCTGACAGAAACGAAGAGTGAGCACATGGACATCCCGTATCACACTGAAGTTCGCTGGCTAAGCCGTGGGAATGTTCTGAGTCGCTTCGTTGCGCTGAAGGCCGACATCATCGCTTTCTTGCAAGAGGAAGAAAAACACATACCAGAGCTGGAGGAAGAACAATGGTCATGGGATCTGGCATTCCTCACCAATATTTCAAGCCATCTGAACACGCTTAACATAGCTCTCCAAGGAAAAGACCATCTCATTTAGGACATGGTGAGTGCGATGTTCGCGTTCCAAGGGAAGCTGCGCCTCTTCAAGTTGCAGCTTGGGGGTGGCAGCATAGTTCACTTTCCAACCTGCCAGAAGCTCTTTCCCACCGGCGAAAATCGGAAGACGGTAGCTGCGACGTACGCTCTACAGGTTGAGTACCTGCTTTCCGAGTTCCGGCAAAGATTCAAGGCATTCGAAAGTGGGAAGAGTAACTACGATTTGTTCCGCGGTCCGACGCTGCAGCTAGAACTCATCGGCCTCCAGTGCTCACCAGAACTGAAGAGTATGCATTGTGAGTCTCAGCTGCTTGACTTCTACAGAAGCCTTGACAGGAGCAAGTACGGAAATTTTGTGGACCACGCATTGAAGCTTGCATCACTTTTTGGGAGCACGTATGTCTGTGAGCAGACGTTCTCACTGAT